AGTTTTTAGTTATCACCAGTTTTTTTCTCGTTTAGTCATGGGTTTGTTGGTGGAAGGACGGTGGACAGACGACAAAGATGCCCCAAAAGGAATCAAATGACAGTTTGTTGTTTAAAAGATTTTAAAAAGAGAAAACCCGACTTGAAAAACAAAAGGAAAAAACCGGAAACCGTTCAGCCATTCAACAACTGGGTGGCCGTCGATGGACAACCCGGGTCACGGGAGAAGGAGGATTCGTCGCTGAAAAAGATCGGTCTGTTTTAATCTAAAATCCTTGCTAATCCTAAAGTCCTTTAATCAGAAATCAAGTAATAAAGTGCGATAAAAAACGGAAAACTATTGGGTTGATGCATAATTATCCGGACTTCTTTTATAAATGATTTTATTTAACAAAAAATAACATAAATAGTTAGAAAAATATGTTTAATTGATTATTCTGGAGCATATTCACCGCCTACATCAATAACTGATTGCCATTTGCTTGGAAGACGATCGATTCCACGAGCGAAGAATAAACGATCTTTGGAGGCAATCCACGCTTTAACATCGTCTATCAAGTCATCCAAATCGTTGTAGATCTTATTTGTTTGCCAATTTTTGAGCGATCGATTGACGTGGTAGTCCGTTGGGGCTTCTCCAGTTCTTTGAGATCGCGAAACGACTCTGCGGCAGACCATCCCTTTTCGAAGTGGTAGAGCATGATATGGCGAAGATGGATATGATTGTCGACACGCATTTTGTTCACTAAAGAATAACGAATATTTAAAAAAAGAAATAGACAAAAAGCTTTCAAAACAAAAAAGATACAAGCACGCAAAAAGAAGTCCGGATAATTATGCATCAACCCAATACCTTTTCTGATGTCAATTGTTAGTTTTTCATTAGAATTTCTCTAAATCTTTTCTTGTTTTTTGAATTTCTTGTCACTTTCGTTATTTAGAAATTCTCCAAAGTTCGCGGAATTTCTCTTCTTTCAAGATCATATGCAAACATCAACATAAATTCTTTTCTCCATTCTATTTCTTAAATCGCGCCTCTTTATGATTTTTTTTATCTCTAGCTCCTTGTTCTCTAAACGACTGGACCTGTATATATGTCATAGCCGATCTGCTATTTCAGCCGATCTGCTATTTCAGCCGATCTGCTACTTCAGCTGATCTGCTATTTTAGCCGATCTGCTATTTCAGCCGATCTGCTACTTCAGCTGATCTGCTATTTTAGCCGATCTGCTATTTCAGCCGATCTGCTATTTCAGCCGATCTGCTATTTCAGCCGATCTGCTATTTCAGCCGATCTGCTATTTCAGCCCATCTGCTATTTCAGCCGATCTGCTATTTCAGCCGATCTGCTATTTCAGCCGATTCGCTATTTCAGCCGATCTGCTATTTCAGCCGATCGCTATTTCAGCCGATCTACTACAGCCGATCTGCTATTTCAGCCGATCTGCTATTTCAGCCGATCTGCTACTTCAGCTGATCTGCTATTTTAGCTGATCTGCTATTTTAGCCGACTTGCTATCAAAACTTTTCGCTAGCCGATTTACTATTGCGGCTAGCCGCAACGATACCCCTTTAACGTCCAGGAGGTATTTTGAGGACCAGAATACCCCTTTAACGCACTCGCGACCAAAACCTCTTGGGCGTACAGTCGTGTAGTCCTAGCTATTTGTTCCCCAATCAATTAAAAGTTTACAGATAAAATTAGACTATTTGCGCTCTTTGACAGCTTTGAGTCTCCTCTTTTAAATGAATGCAAACTTCGGAGCAATCTCTGTTGAAATCATGAAAAACAGAATATTCGTTATTGGAACGATCCGCCGGTGGCGTGTTAAAGCTACTTTCGATTTATTCATTCAGATATCATCTGTATGTCTCGTACGGATGCCCTTACGCTCATCGCACGCTGATTCTATTGAAGCTAAAGGTGATAAAATGAAATTAACGCAAATATTGGGTTCTTGCAGTGAAAATGGGATACTTTTAAAAGCTACATTTATTCAATAAGAAATCGGAAAATTATTCCAAATAATTTCCATTATTATTAACAACTTGTGTCCATTTTACAGTCAATTTTACGAATTCCTTTTCTTCGTAAAATTTTATTTTCTATGAGAGACAAGTGTGAGACTCAAAATCGAGGACCAAAGTTTGAGCACTTTCTTCAAAAGAAACCCATTTTGATGTCAATGGAAAAGTTGTAGAGAATCAAAATTAGGCTTATAGCCAAATTTCCAAAAAGAAACACTTAGTAGTTTCGCTTAAAATGCAAGTTTTGTGAAAATTCGTAAATTTGGCATTTCTTGAAAACCCGTTTTTGAATCGTTCTGGAAATTTGGCTATAAGCCTAATTTTTGATTCTCTACAACTTTTCCATTGACACCAAAAAGGGCTTTGAAGAAAGTACTCAAACTGTGGCATGTTGCGAAATAGCGTCCCATTTTCAATGCAAAGACCCAATTGCAACGGGTTCAGGGACTCGAGGACCTTTTGAGCGTGTCAGTGGTCAGTCCGATGATGCTTGAGAATGGATGGACATTTGATGAGACTTATCCAGGTGTGATATAAGCTCTTTCCCCAAAAAGAAACTTGGCTTTATCCCGATAACGGCCCTCTTTCAAAAAATGATTAACTTTCAACTGAAAAAAAATCAACTTTTAATTGTTCAATTGGGCAACTTTTTGTACCAATAGATTGTGAATTCGGCTATTAAATCAAATAAAAAGCTTCGTTGGACAAGAGTAGTTGAGATTTTTGAGTTGAAATCGCGCGAAAAAGTGATTTCGATAGGTTTTTAATGGGAAATGTGTCGTTTTGAACGGGCGTAACTCGGATTTTTGAAGTTGAACACACTATAGTATGGACTTTCTACCGCAACCAAACAACAAAAAACGGAAAGTCTATAAAGAGGAGCCACTTTTTGACTAGAGAAATACACTTTTCTTTTCCTTTTTTAAAATTTTTCTATGAGTTTAATTAATTTGGGTTTTTTTGTTCAGGAATACCACGTAGGAGTAAGAAAAGTCAAACAAGAAAGAGGAAAATTTCAACAAAGGAGAAGAAAAGTGTATTTCTCTAGTCAAAAAGTGGCTCCTTTTTGTAGTTTTTCCGTTTTTTGTTGTTTGATTACGGTAGAAAGTCCATACTATAGTGTGTCAACTTCAAAAATTCGAGTTGCACCCGTTCAAAACGCTACCAGTTTGTGCAAACTTGATCAATCTCTATAATTTTTGCACAAAAAACATTCTCAAGATATATGCAAATAAAACTTGTTGCTTTGTTTTGCATTTTTCTCCTGATAATAGCAATTTATAGCGCTCGAAACCCAAAATAGATCATTATTACATGGGAAAAGCAAAAAACTGAATTTTTAAAAATGGAGTCAAACGGATTTCAAAAAAAATTTTCGTATTTGAAATCAGGGTGCTTTTTTTACGTCGACTGATATCTTTTTTTGTTAAAAATCTATAAAAATCACTTTTTCATTAATGTATCACGCGGATCTAGGTGGCGTTATCATAGAGCCAAAAAATTTACATTTGTTGCTCCGTTTCTGACTTTCATTTACTGCCAACATTTCAGATGCAACCGTCGACCACCTCTACGGCTTTCAGTTCCTATACCAAGTCTACTTAAAGGTTTTTGATTTCAAAATAATAATAAATCACATCTATGTTCACAGTCCGATCCAAAATGCACGACCCGGGTCTCGGTGCCGGTGCTTTGGGACAAGAAACAGCACAAATTGGTGAGCACCGAGAGTGCCGACATCATTCGAATGTGAGAATGTGAATCGTTAATCCAATTATCTTCATGAAATAGGTTTCAAATTCGGAAAATTTCAGGCTCAATTCGGCTTTCGATGGGCTTTGCGCAAATACAGGGATTTCTACCCAAAAGAATTGCATACAAAGATCGATGAAGTGAACGAATGGGTCAATGATACTGTCGTCACCGGTAGGTTGTTTCTCCAAGCCAAAAGCCATGGAGCTAAGAGCAAGCCGCAAGCTAGCCGAAGCAATGACCTTCTCTTGGTTTTGGCCTGGTTTTTGGGCGGGCCAATGAAAAGCAATGGAGCTAAGTTTTGTTTGTAATCAAAGAACGTCAATTCACAGGCGTCTACAAAGCCGGATATGCGCTGACTCAAGAGGGATACGACTTGGCTGTGGAAAACTCTTCGACTCGCTGGAACGCTTAGGAGAAAAATTCTCGGTTGGCATTAGAAAAACATAGCAAACATCTTTTTTCCCATGCAAATTAACTTTTTGGTAGGATTGGTAGGATGTTGTTATCTTGAAGAATCTGAATACATAACAAAGTGCTTTTTTCTCAGAGAACCAGCGCTATCTGGCGGGGGAGAGTCTTTCCGACGCGGACATCCGTTTGTGGGTGACACTGGTGAGTAGAAAAAAAGGAATCCCGGGGAAAACAGAGAAAATCAATAGATTCGATTCGATGCTGTCTACTCGATCTATTTAAAATGCAGCAAGAAACGCATCTTGGACTACCCGAATCTTCACGGTTATCTCAGGTGAGTGACCAGGAGATCGGCGAGTACAACAGGGGGACGAATAATAAAATTTTGATAATTTATTGATTAAAGTTGGGTTTTTTGCTTTAATTTCAACGGAGATCGCACTGTTGGACTACCGTATTTCCTCTAAATGACATTATTTTTTCAAAGACCTCAAAATGGTGGGACAATATTAGAGGTGGGGCACTAGTAGAGGTAGGCCATCTGAAATGGCGAGTCTGGGCTTCGACCACTGGTCTGACTAAGACTGCTGGTCTGATTGGTTAGCCCAGATTTGTCCAGAATGGTTAATGTTCTGGGCTCAGACTGGGTCATCTAAAAGATAAGTCTAGGTGCAGACTGCAGATTGATTAAAGTTGCTTTTTACTTCAATTTCAATAGAAATCGCACTGTTGGACTACGGTATTTCCTCTAAATGACATTATTTTTTCAAAGACCTCAAAAGGGTGGGACAATATTAGAGGTCTGAATTTAAACTGTTAGGGGTGGGACACAAATAAAGATGGGGCATTATTAAAGGAAATACAGTATATTCTAGGGATATTTACCAACATCCGGGCATCGCTGAGACGACAAATTTCAATCACATCAAGGCTCTCTACTTCCGCTGTGGCAAAACGTTGAATCCGTCGGGTAGGAGTTCACTCATCGAAAAACATTTTGCTTAGAACGCAATCATTTGGTTCATAACTTTTATTTCTAAAAATGAGAAAATGTTTAGGCAAAAAGTAAAGTAAAGCACCGTATTTATTCTAATTGAAGCTCAGTCTCTAATACAAGGTGTCCCAAAATTATCCAAAATTATCCAAAATTTTTGAATGTAACTTCTCACATCGTTAAACAATTTTCCTACTTTCTTTAATTCTCTAAATAATTATAGTAGTCTTAAAGTCAAAAACTAACAGAAACTTAAGCTTATTTTTCAGTTACGAGAGTATCTAAAAAGTTTTTAATTCAAAGCTTGGTGATCGTCTAATCGACGTCTAAAACTATATTCCAGTTCCGAAAGGGAACAGCTCACTACTTGTTTCACCTCATTTACTTTTAAATCGCTCAGTCGTTGAAGAAAAATCAAACTTAACTGATTTAACAAACTTTCAGCTGTAAATTTTAGCCATAAAAAGGCTGCGCGCCGAGGGCGCCAAGATTGCTTGCTTTGGGGATTTGAAGCTGCATTGGAAGGCCCCTCTCGACTTTCTGATCAAAAGAAATTAGTTTATTGTTGAAAATGTTGCAAATTTTGTGAAAAAAAGAAGAAAGTAGGGATTGTTCAACTGCACGGAGAGTTGCACCCAAAAAACTTTGCCCGGATAATTTTGGAACACCCTGTAGAAGCCACAAATTTTAAAAAGCATCACTTTGCTACCGTACACCATTTCATTTATTTTTCTTGCAAAGCGCCTCTAGAATCCTCATTATTTTTACGTTTATTAAACTTTTTTCTGCTTTTTTTGTTTTTTTTATAAAATTGCTAATATGTTTATTTTTGGGTGTGATGGCTGAGCGACCAACAATTTGTTTGGATTCTCTCGAAGAATATCGAGCTCTACAAGAACACACCGAACACGAGGATTTCTTCAGGGAACAACAGAAAGCAAGTGAATTGATGAATAGAAAGCCGGAGCCGGAAAACGATTACTCAAATTCTCTCGATGACGCAAATGAATTGATGAAAAGCTCATTGTTGTTCGATGAACCGGAAATGAGAAGACGAAGATCTCAGTGGTGCTGACGGCTTGAGTATATAGCCTCAAATGCAAGCCTTTTGTTCTTTTACCAAGGAAACGAGTCGACCCGGCCATTCAACAGCGATTTGGTAGCAAGTTGAATCTTCTATGGGAAGGATGAATGAGGATTTAACGGCTGTTTTTCTCAAGAGGTCATTCCAGAAGGAGCTGTCAAATTGTGTCAGGCTTAGAACGAGGCGAAGATCGCTCACTTGTTGAAGGAAATCGATCTTGGCGAAGATGAGGAGATCAAGTGCGACGACAGTGATGTCTCTATTGAAGTAGGCAATGTTAACGAAAATGATGTCGATAATAATGATTTAAATGATATGTTTGCTTAAAAATGTTTTTCACTCTGTTAATTGATTGTTGCCTATTTTTAAATGTTGTTTTACTTGAATGAATAAATCATAAATTGTTATTATTTGTAAGTGATAACTTCTAGTAAGCTATTTGATCAATTTTGTTGGAAAGGTTGGAAAATAGAAGCAATTTTAGGAAGGGGGTTGAAAAATTGAAGCACATGTGCTTCTATTAGAAGAAATTCGTTAACTTTAGGCATCGTTCCAATAGGACCCGATATGCGACTCGATGTGCCACACGGAAGAACTAAGTAGATTTTTGGTACTTAACGCTGAATAAATCTCTCATTTTGCACTATAATTCAGGAAAAACACATTCGAATCTCAAATTATAACGTAATGTTCAAAGTTTCTAATAAAATTTAATGCAACGTCCTAGATGCTATGAAATTTGTTTAGTTTTATCTGTTTCTGAGCGGAAAGCAAGAAAAAATACTTTTTATTGCTCTCGAAAAATCTCCATTTTATTTGGGGGCATTTCGCGAGGCACCAATCGAGAAAACCGATGGCTGTTTTCAGGGCAAAAGCGGCAAATTCTGGATTCTTTTCAAGTTGCTCGGTCAACTCGATGCAAGCATCATCTGGTTTTAGAATCTTCTGTGACTCTGTGCTTTGATAGAGAAAGTTTTATTATGGCCAAAGATTTTTGGAAATGAATTCATTATTAGTGACACTGCATAGGCATTTTGAAAGACTTTTGAAAAACGTTTTTTTCGCATAAGACTTTCGAAAGGGAAAGTATAAACGTTTGAAGCCAGGAACTTTATATATCTAGCTGAATTTATAGCAGGCTCAGGACCACATTCTGTTTGTTGATTGGTCTCAATTTCTATGAAATTCGGTTTCAAAACCTCAAAAATGTGAACTAACTTTTCACATCTATTGTCCAATCAGGCTGTTTTTGGTAACACTAGGTTGTACTTGATGTTATCTATCAATTGAAACTGATTTGAAACAATTTCCTAAATTTGTAGCTTTTAGACTTGCCATAGATTTACTCAAATTCTAAATGAAAAAGATTCCAAATGGTGCTCACCTAAATTCTCTTTTACTCGAAATAACGATAAAATGATTACTCTCGATACAATGATTTACTCGATACAACAATTCAAAACCTCGATCCTAGCCAAGCTTTTAATAAAATCTTAAGGGTACTTCTTAAAGGGGAGATGCGGATCGAGACCAATTTTCAACAAAATCTTTTTTCCCTAAATTTGACTATGTTTTGATTTAACAAAACAATTTTCATGCCTGTTAGGGTAATTTTTAAGGTTCAATTTTTTTTGAAAACATCGTTTCAGCACAGGTTTTCATACAAAAACCCTCTTTTTCTTTAAGTCTAACAGATCTGACTCTGATAGAAGAAGAGCTCTTCTTCGTTCTCCCGTCTCTAAACCTAAAATTTTTTAAAATTTCTTTCTACAAAAAAGTATTAGGCTTTGGAGTTCCCTTTCCGACCATGTTCAAAAAATGAAGTCCCTCTTTTCCTTCAAACAGTAACCTTCTTACTCTCACGCTTTAACCGATGCTTTGATCCCTCTTTAAAGTCAGCTTCAAAAGTCAGAGTCAAAAAGACGGGCTTACTGTTTGCAAGACGTGATCAATGGGGGTGTTCATTGTTTGTCAATTGAGAAAAAGGATGGCTAGGAGACTCGAACTTACTGTTCTTTGGTTCCTTTGAAAGTGGAAGTCAAATTGTGTAAATAATCGCCTGAAGATAGGGTACTAACTCTCTAGAAAAGACCTATATAAAGCCCGGAAACCCTTCCGCTCTTTAGAAAACTAAAAAAATGTGGGCGATTTCTCTGACTCTTCTCTTCGCTTTATCCGTTCAGTTGGCGACCGCTCATCAGACGGAAAACATAATTACGGTATGATTTTAGTCTTATAATAAGTACAATCCATAAAAATCTGATAAATCCAAACGACTTTTCGATTAAAAAACTTTAGTCATGATTTTTAAGGGCTCAGAGCAATCATTTGCAATCACATTAAATCTGTTTTTGATTTCAAAAAAAGTGACAACAGAGCTAAACAAAGACATTTGTTCAGCCAACAAAATGCGGAAAATCGCAACGTTGTTTCGGTAATAATTTTATAGAGTAGAGCAACACATGGTTGATAGATTTTGACACATTTTTCTAACAAACGAGGGTCAACTGGATAAACTAGCCAAATGACATAAGTCATATAATATTCGATGCAGAATTTTACGCCGAATCCAATGCTGATATGCGTTTTTGCTAAACGCCACTCTGTCAAAAGTTATAGGCGTGCAAAATTTTGCAAGAAGTTTCAAAAATCTAGCATAGACTTTAAAACCGAACTCTTCAGATAAGGCAAAAAGTGCTGTGGTGGCCGAGTGGTAGTGCGTTACTTTTTTTGGGTTTGAATCGCTTATGTGTTCTCCGCTTCAAATTCGCTTTTTTACCCATTTTTTTACAAAAAAAAATCCATTGAAAAAAAATAGTTATTTAAATTTAAACCAAAAAGAAAAACAAAACAATCCGTTGACGGATTCGAACCCACGGTTTCTATTCTAACTTGTTACCACTTGACCACCCTTACACTTTTTCGTTGTCTTCGTTGTCGGTTTCAAGGTCCATGCATTTTTGAAACTCGATACGAAACTTTCAAAGCTTATAATTTTTGACAGAGTGTTCAGCAAGAACGGAAAGGAGCATCGTGTTCGGCGTGAAATTCTGCTTTAAGTTAAGTCAAGAAAGTTCAATTTTAGCGATATCAAACAAGATTTTTACAGGATATAAGCTCGGTGTCCTTTTTTGCTTTGCTTTGCTTTTTACAGGATATAAGCTCAAAATCGAGGAAAATACTATATTTTTCAACAGGATAATGCTTCAATTCTTGTCAGCCAATCCACTAAAGCTTTTCTGGAACGTCACAACATCGATTATCTCGAATGACGGCTTCAAAACTAATTTTTTTTTGCAATTTGTTCAAATAACATCGAAAATGGTATATATGCCTATTTTTGTATATATTTCTAGGATTTAAAAGCTATTTCGCGTTATTAAATTTCATAGCCATAAAAATTTAGGGGTGGTCCTATCATCTTGCAACGCACCTTACATCAAGGCCCTGCCCTGGCTATAGTACCATTTTAAGTAGCTTTTAAACTCTTCACTTGAAGTAATTGTTACCATTTCCCCCAGGCTTACGATAGGCACTAACCGATTCCATCTAACCGTCGAAATGTTGAGGATGATCGCTCGAAAAATGTGTCCCGTCCTTTCCAGCATAGAATCCGCGTCGCCGATCTAAAGTAAATGACCTTTTGATTAAAATGCATGATCTAGAATCTGACCTAAAAGCTGGGGTTATGAAAAAGGCACCGTAATCCCTAAGATCTGATGTTCCTGGCATTGTCACTTTTTTCTTATTCTTGATTTCAGAATTTGTGGGATAAAAGATGGCAATTCACCCTTCTTAATTTTACCCTCATCCTTAAGTACGGTATCGTTTTGCCTAAACTCCAACGGTCAACCTGTCTATTATCAGGTGAAAAGTAATTGATGGTAAACGGGAATACAACTAAATTCTTTACAAACTCTATGACACGTTTGGCTTCAACTACCTTCGCTTCTTTGCCAAAAATGTGCCTGTCGAAATTTGAGGTTGTGAGTGCGAGATTTTATTTTTTGATGTTTTATCGTGATATGTGAATCGATTTTGGGCTTCTTTATTTTTCAGTGTTGAAATTTTGCAGCAAATTGTTGTTTTCTGGATGATGTTATACATACCTTGAATGTTTATTTCGTTTGCAAACGTGTTTTTTTGTTTTTTTGAACTAAAGATACAATAATTTATTTTAATAAATTTTTCTTAACAACATACCATTTCTTGTTGCTGAAGGTCTCGATGGATTGTTGATCCATCGAAAGCCCTTTCCAATGAATTGATCGTTTCGAAGATATCATTGAAGGGATGTCGACGGCGGAATGGACGACAAAAAATGGTTCGACGGAAAAAGAAGAAGTGACATTTGGAAGTGTGAAGGTAGTTGTTGACAGTAAGATGTGTTGATTTGAGTTGATGACTGCTGGAGTGAACCGTCGGCTTATATAGGATTCGATGGGGTTGTCGGGAGGTTCTCGAAAATTCTCGAAACGGAGTCGACACTTGTTTTCCCCTTCCACTCTATTGCCTCTTTGGAAAAGAACCTTTTTCGAAGCCTCTCGAAATCACTCGATGTTTCTGTTCATCTCTTTTCTGTTTTGGACTATTAGAAGACTCTTCATTTCAATCTCTTTTCAACCTCTTTCAATGTTCATCTCTTGGCACAAGTGAAACAATGTTCAGTTCTAAAAATTTTTGAAAATTTGACTATTTAACAAGTAGGAATTGACGACATTCATCTTGAGAAGGAGCTTTCGTCTTCGACTTTCGGAACTCAAGAAGATCTTCGCCAGATTGAGTCCACGAGTTAGATGTGAGGATCTATGGAAACAAATTCAACGAGTATTTGTAGAATTTCAAAGCTGAAGTCATCGATCGAGCATCAGGGAAGATTGATTATTGGAAGGAAGAGGTAAGACAGCAACTTTTATCAGAAATCAGTCAGAATTTCCCTTTGAACCCAACGTTGATTTGGTTTCGGCTGAACCTACAACCATCCGAAATGTGTCATTTTTGGGGAATTATACTTTCACGTTCAATGCAAACCAACCCGAATTCGTGTCTAATTCGAAGGCAAAGTAAAAATATTAACAAGGGCCAACCGGGCGTGGCGGCCGAATGACACGAGCCATCTACCATTCGACGCGGAATTTCACGCTGATTCCGAAGCTGCTGATGAGCACTCTGTCAAAAGTTATAAGCATGCAAAGGAAAAGTAATAAGCTAATTTTATCAAAGAATGGAAAAAAAGGCAAAAAGAATGAAGCGGTAATGCGACGCGAAGAGATTGTAAACAATATTTCCGCTCAACTCTGTGATCTTGTCTTCTCGCAAATTCAACCTTGCAAAATAGGGTCTTTTTTCTGAATCTTGTCCGGAAGCGAAAAATGGTTTCTGGCCAAAATTTTTGTGGCCAAGCCGTCAATTTTCTTTTGTGAATTGATATAAATTTAAAAAGCTCAAAAACCTCAATGAAACCATGGATTGCGAGCTGCTAACAAAATGTGAGCCAAACACCCATATTCGAATTCTAAAAGACAACCTCATGGGCTACGGTACCAATCGATGAGGTAAAGGGGAAATTTTGGGCTTCGGAAATCATTCTTCACTTCTCC